CCTAGCCCCCCACCCCTGCCAGCAGTCCCCCCCTCCAGCCCCCCAGATACTTCTCAGCCCCCCTCGTGCCAGCCCCCCAATCCCCTCCCCCAGCCCCCCCCCCCCGTCCCTCACCAGTCCTCCAGCCCCCCAGATCTGGCTCCCTGCCCCCCAGCCCCTCCGGGATACGCGGTGAGCACGGCAGTCTTGCAGAGGAAGAAGGCCGGGATGGCGTAATGCTCGAACATCAGCTCGGTCAGCTTCTCCCGCTTGGCGCGGGTGTTCCACTGTGGGGAGAGAGAGCGGCCGTGGGGGGCCAAGCCGAGATGTCGGGGTGCTGGGGGTGGATTAGGGGATGTGACGGTGCAGGGGGGCGAGGTGATGTTGGGGCGGATCGGGGGGATGGGGTACAGGGGGGATGTGGCAGTGCGGGGGGGGTGAGGTAATGTCGGGGTGCAGGGGGGGATCAGGGGGGATGTCGGGGTGCAGGGGGATGTGACGGCATGGGGGTGAGGTGATGTCGGGAGGAAGGGGGTGGATCGGGGCATGTCGGGGAACATGGCGCAGATCCGAGGGGATGTCGGAGTGCAGGGGGTGAGGTGATGTTGGGTGCAGATCAGGAGGATGTGACGGCACGGGGGTGAGGTGATGGGGTGCAGGGGGGTGGATCAGGGGGTGTCGGAGTGCAGGGGGTGAGGTGATGTTGGGTGCAGATCAGGAGGATGTGACGGCACGGGGGTGAGGTGATGGGGTGCAGGGGGGTGGATCAGGGGGTGTCGGAGTGCAGGGGGAGTGATGTGATGTCGGGGTGCAGGGGGTGGATCGGGGGGATGTCAGGGTGGAGGGGGTGACGGATGTCGGGGTGCAGGGGGTGGATCAGGGGGATGTCAGGATGCAGGGGGGCGACACAACGTAGGGGGCACGGGGGGACCTACCGGCGCCTCGGACATGAGCACGGGGTGCAGGGGGGTGGATCGGGGGTTGTCGGGGTGCAGGGGAGTGAGGTGATGTTGGGGTGGATCGGGGGGATGTCGGGGTGCAGGGGGGTGAGGTGATGTTGGGGTGCAGAGGATGGATCGGGGGGATGTCGGGGTGCAGGGGGGTGAGGTGATGTTGGGGTGCAGAGGATGGATCGGGGGGATGTCAGGACACAGGGGGGCGACACGACGTAGGGGGCACGGGAGGACCTACCGGTGCCTCGGACATGAGCACGGGGTGCAGGGGGGTGAGGTGATGTTGGGGTGGATTGGGGGGATGTCGGGGTGCAGGGGAGTGAGGTGATGTTGGGGTGGATCGGGGGGATGTCGGGGTGCAGGGGAGTGAGGTGATGTTGGGGTGGATCGGGGGGATGTCAGGACACGGGGGCGACACGACGTAGAGGGCACGGGGGGACCTACCGGCGCCTCGGAAATGAGCACGGGGTGCAGGGGGTGCTCCGACTTGACGTGTTTCCCGTACGTGTGATCCAGAATCGCCTGGAA